GAGGGATCAGCCCTAGGCTCCTAAGCAACATCTTGGTTCTTATTTTCCTTTAGCAGACAGTGACTCTCTCCCTGTTGCCTGGGGTTGTGGGAAGGTTGGGGTAAGCAGTCCTATGGGCATCAATGCCACAATTCTGGGTCATACTTAGAGCCTCTAATACTGTGGTGATTAATTTTTAGAGATTTCATTGTTATTTCTTGTAATACCCCTATTTCATCTCTATTTTTATTAATTTGGGTCTTCTCCCTCTTTCTTTTGGTAATTTTTGACTAAGGGATTGTCAATCTTGTTTATCATTTGAAAGAACTAACTTTTTTGCTTTATTCTTTGTATTTTTCCTTTAGTTTCCATTTCATTAATTTCTGTCTTAATCTTTATTTTTTTCCATCTGTTCATTTTGAGGTAGACTTGTTCTGTTTTTTAAGTCCTTGAAGTATATCCTTAGGTTACTTATTTGAGGTCTTTCTTATTTTTTTAAAGGTAGGCACTCATAGCCATAAACTTCCCATTCAGAACTGCCTTGGCTGTTTCTTAGATGTTCTAATAAGTTGTATTTTAATTTTCATTTGATTCTAGGTATTTAAAAATTTCTCCCCTGATTTCTTTAATGACTCAGTTATCATTCAAAAGTGTATTTTTTAGTCTCCATGTGTTTATATAGCTTTTGTACTTTCTCTTCTATTTAAAATTTTTATTCCATTATGATAGGATAGGATACAAGAAATTATTTCTTGTTTTGTTTTTGTTAAGATTTTCTTTATAGCCTAAGACTTGATGTATTTTATAGAAGCTCCTTGGGCTGCTGAGAGAAACTGTATTCCTCAGCTATTGGATGGAATACTCTGTAGATTTTTTTTTTAACCCTTTTAATCTATGGTGCAGTTTAACTCTGAACTTTTTTTTGGTTGACTTTCTTTGTATGGATGATCTATTGATGAGCCTTGGGTGTTGAAGTAACCCATTATTATCATATCTGGACCTCTCTCTTCCTTTGTGTTCACCAACATTTGGTATATATACATTTACAATTGTCACATGTTCTTGATAGGTTGCTTCCTTTGTTAATATGTAGTGACCTTTATCTGTTCTAATTTTGGCTTGAAATCTGCTTTGTTAGGTATGAGTGTATTTACTACTACTTGCTTTTAGATTGTTTGCTTGTAATATTGCTTCCCATCCTTTCAGTCTCAGTCTCTGTGTGCCTTTGTCAGTGAGGTAAGTTTCTTGCACACAGCAACCAGTTGGATCTCAGGACCATTTAAAACTTAAGACAACATTTACGTTTAGTGTGATTATTGGAAAGTATACATTAGTTTCTTTCTTCTTCATATTAGAGGTTTGCTCATTTACTTAGTTAATATTTGATTCTTGCCTCATTCTCATTTATTTATATAACATATAATAAAGTACAATAATGCAACAACAATGTTAATAATTATTATGTAGTCATGATAGTGATTTTATACTAGTTTAGTACAGCACTAAAATAATTACAAAATGACTATACTTACATATTTACTTGTCAGTAAGGTCAGTGCACCACATAGTGATGTTTTAGTCCATGAAAAACTGTATATGATGCTGGCCCTGTAAGATTATAACGGAATTAAAAAAATTCCTATTGCTTAGTGACATTGTAGTTACTGTATCTTCATAGCATAACAGTTACTCACATGTTGATGCAGATGGTGGTGTAAAAAAACTACTGTGCTGCCAGTTGTTTAAAAGTATAACACATACTGCTGGTTGTGGTGATACATATCTGTAATCCCAGCACTTGGGTGGTTGAAGTGGGAGGATGGCAAGGTTAAGTCCAGCCTGGGCTACAGAGAAAAATCTTGTCTCAAAAAAAAGGATTGGGGATATGCCTCAAGTGGTAAGAGTACCTGCCTAGTAAGTGTGAGGCTCTGAATTCAAGTCAAAGTACCACCAAAGGGGAAAAACAAAAGAAAAGTATAATACATACAGTTATGCACAATATACAATACTTGATCATGATAATAAATGACTTACTCGTTTATGTGTTTACTTTATGCCATGTTACACTGGCAGCAGCCTCATGTGACCTGTTTAATTTTACCATGTTTTTTTTTTTGGGGCGGCTGTACTAGGGTTTGAAATCAGGGCCTTGCTCTTGGTAGGCAGGTGCTCTACCACTTGAGCTATGCCCCCAGCCCACCATATATCTTGATTGCATCATTTACTTGTGTTGAGTTCATCATGGCCATAGAAGCAATAGGCTATACCATTTTATTTATTTATTTATTTATTTTAAAATTTTTATTGTTTTATTATATGTGCATACAATGCTTGGGTCATTTCTTCCCCTTGCCCCCACCACCTCCCTTACCATCCACTCCGCCCCCTCCCTCTATCCCCACTCCCTCGATACCGGCAGAAACTATTTTGCCCTTACCTCTAATTTTGTTGAAGAGAGAGTATAAGCAATAGGAAGGACCAAGGGTTTTTGCTAGTTGAGATAAGGATAGCTATACAGGGAGTTGACACACATTACTTTCCTGTGCATGTGTGTTACCTTCTAGGTTAATTCTTTTTGATCTAACCTTTTCTCTAGTTCCTGGTCCCCTTCTCCTATTGGCCTCAGTTGCTTTTAAGGTATCTGCTTTAGTTTCTCTGCATTGAGGGCAACAAATGCTAGCTAACTTTTTAGGTGTCTTACCTATCCTCATATCTCCCTTGTGTGCTTTCGCTTTTATCTTGTGATCAAAGTTCAATCCCATTGTTGTGTTTGCCCTTGATCTAATGTCTGCATATGAGGGAGAACATACGATTTATGCTGTGAGGAAACTGGTTTCCCTGTTTTTTCTGGCTTCCCGTCATTGCCCTTGATATTGTTATTGTCCCTGTACTCTGTGCAATTAAGTATTTTCTGGCTTGTAATAATAGCAGTAGTGATATTTAGAATGGAGAGGGGATGGAAGTCAAAGAAGTTAAATGGAAAGGGAAAATCAAATAATCAAGTAGAACCAAAAACAAAACAAGGAAAGAAAAAAAGTTTCAAAGATATAAACAGGGAGATACAGTGTACTAATCAACTGTAAGCTGAAAAGGCATCAGAGAGACAGAGAGAGGATTGAAAATAAAAAATAAAAAGAGTAAAGACAAGAATAAAAATTAAAAAATAAGGAAATGATAGAAAAAGTATATAAAATAAAATAAAATAAAAAATAAAAACCTCCAAGTTCAAATGCAATGAAATTTTAGTCTTAATAATTTTAAGACTTAATAATTTTGGTGTTCGTCCCTCAGCCTGCAGTCCTCGAGATGGTGCCTCAGATGTTGTTCTGTCGTTGTGTCAAAAGGAGAGACATAAAGTGGAACAAAACTGCACACACACACTCAAAAAGGCCCACCAAATGTCCCAAGTGCAAATGCAATACAGTTTCATTAAGTTTTTCAGCATGCAGGTGTAGTTTGGTTGTTTTCTCATCAAAGGTAGGGAGAGCGAAAAACAAGAGTCTGGAGACAGGTCTGTGAATGGCTATCTGGGCCTGTGGCTTGCCTGCTCGCTGCTGTCAGCCTGCTGTTGCTGGAGGCGTTATTTATGCATATCTCAGAAGTGAGATTAAGACTGTCCTGGTCCACAGGCTTTGTTTACTTAGAGTCCTGTGCGCGAACTCTTGATACAAGCTTTCCCCTTTCCAAGCACAGTGGGGGAGGTGACACTGCACCCACTTTCTCAGGCCTATGTGTTTTATTTACAGTTCACGTGGGAAATGTGTCTTCCACCCTCTCCTGCGGAATTTTCCTCCCACTGCAGCTTTTACAAGCTTTCCTGCTCCTGGTTGCTGGGTGTGCGCCCCTGCTCCTGCCGGAGCCTCTCTGGCCAGGCCCGGCTTGTTCATTTACAGTTCTGGGAAGGATTCCACTCCCCGCCTCTTCATAGCTCAGGACTCCCCACCCTCTTTGCCACATGTCTTTATTGTTCTTATTGCTTATTACTCAGTTCTCTTTTTTCCCCGGGTAGGGGTCGATCTGTCCAGGGGGTATGCTGATCTGGCCCAGGGTTGTCTATATAAGTACTGCATACCGCTTAGTTCACCTTGTTCGTGTCTTCCCAAGCTGTCTGGGCGTGGGTGACTGGCGGCCTGGGGGCCCTCCTCGTTTCTCCCTTTAACGTGAAGTGGAGATTCTCTGTGCAGGCTGGAGGTGTGGAGGGGTCAAAGTTTTGCCTCTTCTCAGTGGCCTTGCCTGCCAGGTGTGTCTGCAGCGTTTCTCCAAAATTTCATTGTAGGAGGCATTATTGTAAATATTTTTAGAATATGAACAACAAGCTTATGGTTTCACCTAAAGAATTTTGTTAGGGCTGGAGGGGTGACTCAGGTGGTAGAGAGCTTGTGTAGCAAGCCTGAGGCCCTGAGTTCAAGCCTCAGTACTTGTGACATGAATCTTAGTCTGTTGGTGGCAGGCTCCAAACTGGTTCTGGCTAGTTCTCAGTCTCCATACACCTCCAGGACACCCAGGGAATCTGACAGGGGGTGCGGAGTGTCTGGTCCACCTCGTCCGGGGCTGCTCTCCATAGGCGTGAAGGCTATACCATTTATATATATTATATGGTCTCTGTGTGTAAAAGGGTAAGCTATCTAGGTTTGTGTAAGGATGCGCTATGGTATTTATACAGTGATACATTTCTCAGAATTTATCCTCAGTGTTAAGTGATGTATGACTGTGTATTGTTCAATGAAAAGAACAGGGAACATAACAGAATGCATGAACAAGAGTGTGCATGAAATGCTATCTTGTACGTTTAGAAGAGGGAAAATTAAGACAAAATATTCACAGTTGAATGAATATCTCATGAGAAACTAATAGAAGATTTTTTTTTCTGCAATGTTGTGCACATGGTAAATAGGGCCTGAATAGAGATTATTCACTTTATACCTATTATATTGTTTGATTTTTGAGCATCTGATTATATAACCTATTAAAAAATTTATAAAAGGTTTTAAGGAAAGTGTTTTCCTTTTTTTTCTTATCAGTAAGTTAAAAAAACTGAGTGAAGACAGTTTGACTAAGCAGCCTGAAGAAGTCTTTGATGTATTAGAGAAGCTTGGAGAAGGGTAAGTACAAAAAATATGAAAGTAACATTTAGATAATGAGAGAAATATCTAAATTAATCTTCCAACTACAGTGTATTTGCTGAAATTGAATACTACTACTAATTAAACTTGGCAATTAATAATGGAATTTTAAAGATGACATTGTGCTAGATATGGTAATAGTGTCTTTCAGAGAAGTAGGCCATATATGTGTGTGTCTGAAAAGCAACAAATGTGGTGCCACATGATTTCCAAGAGGTTTGTTAGTTCTCCGCATGTGGCATTCTCAAAGTAAGCTTGAACATTTTGATTTTGTTAGGCAAGTGACATGGGGCCACCTTTTAATACCTTGGGATACTACTTAGGAAAAGGTGAGTAATAGGTCTGAACTGAGTATATTTATTTACTTTGTGGTGTGGGGGATTGAACCCAGGGCCTTGGACATGATCGAGCCATGTCCCAGACCTTTTGTTTTGATTTTTATTTTGAGACAGAATCTTGCTTCATTGTCTGCTGCTGGCCTTGAACTCTGCTCAACCACCTAACTAGCTGGAATTAAAGGTGTGTCCCACAATGCATGGCTATGTGAATTGAGTATCCTCAGGAGAAAATCAGTTGTATGGGCAAAGGAATAGTTCACATGATTTCAAAATAATAGTAGAGCAACATACCTCATTTTGACTCCAGATAAAGGAAGGGAGTATTTACTGTATGACAGAATTAGGAAAACTTCTAAAATAATAAAAAGTACAAGCCAATATTAAATTAGCAAGAATAAGTAAAAGGAAATAGTTGGAAAATTGTAAAATAATAACAAGATAAACATAAGATGGAAGGAGCAAAATGAAGTATATTTTTCATTAAATGTCAGTTCTCACATTAAAAGATGAACTATTAGAGAAATTAAAATTTAGCTATATGCTGCTAATATGAGACCTATATAAAATGAAAAAAGAAATATAAGGAGATTTCCTATAAAACTATATAAGAAACAGATTAACGTGTGTGTATATACACACATATGTATGTATCCTTGCTTCCCTCCCTTTTTGGGTATATTTATGGACATAGAAAAATGGCAAATATAAAAATTGAGAATTTTATGTACTTTCAAAATGACAAACATAATGAAAACAAAGTAGGAGTGGTGGTATTTATATTAGATAAATTAGCTAAAGTTTAAAGGTCTCAGCTGAATAAAGTGATACATTGTGTAGTAAAAGACAGAATATAACAAAATATTTATTTACTCACCATAGCAGCTAAATTTGTGATGGAGAAGCTATTAGTAATGGTGAAATCTAATGAAAGTATAAATGTATGGGGGGTTTCAATATGTCTTTTAGAATTGGACAGAAAAAACAGGACTCAGAGAGATTAAACATTTTAATTGATATACTCGATTACCTATAAAAGTACTTATATGTCTATACACACAGATATATGTATATATCCTTGTATTCCTCCTTTTTCGGGATGTTTTCATGAACATAGAAAAATGACAGATTCAAATATATAGAATTTTATAGACCACATTTTCTGATTATAGTCTACTAAATTGAAAATAGTAATTTCAAAATGACAACACCCCATCCTCAGTGGAAATTAAGAAGCATATTAGGTAACATGGGTTAGGAACAGGTTATTATAGATTATCTAGAGAACAATGAAAAGGAGAACACAATGCACTTATATCTGTGGAATACAGAGGAACTAATTGGGGAAAAGGTATTAGTTTTAAAATTTTTCATTGTTAATAAATGCAAAAAAAAAACCCAAAAGGAATTTAGTACTTATTAAAGAATTTAGAAAATAGTAAAATATACCAAGATAAAATAGGAAGAGAGAATTACTGAAAAAGGAAAAAGCTGAAATTAATGAAATAAAAATTAAAAAATTAGCAATGATGAATACATACAAAAGCTATTGAAGAGGATAGATCAGTGAAATAATTAAATCTTTTAGAGACAGAGATACAGCATGAATGAGGGCTTGGGTTTGATCTCTAGTCTCCCCCTTCCACACACACAGAGACACAAAAAAGCAAAAGCAGTAGAGAAAAATATAGAAGATCTGGAATATGAAGATATAACCACTGATAGGGAAGAAGTTTCAAAAGGGAGTACTGTATGCTGTACTCTGACAACTAATTTGAAAATCCAGAAGCAGTTGATGATTTCCTAACAACATATAAATTATGCAGTTAACTCATTAAAACATAAATAGATCAATTGCAATAGAAAAGATGGAAAGATGATTTAATACTAACATGTTTTAATATTTATTAATTTAAAAATTACCAGGTTAGAGCATTGGAATTCACAATAGCTAAAATATTGAAACAACCTTTATATAGTGACATTTTAATGAAAAAAGGAATGAAGTACTGATATAAGCTATAATAGGATTGAACCTCAAAAACATTATGCTAATTGAAAGATGCCAACAAAAAAAGGGTCACAATTGCATGATTTGATTTGTATAAAGTATCGAGAATAGATAAATCCATAAGGACAGATAGCAGATTCCAAATGTTTGAGACTATACAGAGGTAATGATTATATAATATTGTGAATGCACTAAACAATACTGAATTGTATTTTTTAAAATGTTTAAAAAGTAAATTTATGTTGTGGCTGTTTTACCTTAAAAAAGGTACCAACTAAATTTTATCCAATGTTTAAAGGATAAATAATTGTAGGTTTTTTGTTTTTTTTTTTTTAAGACAGTGTCTCACTATGTAGCCCATGCTGGCCTTGAACTTGTAGTCCTTCTGACTCAGCCTCCTGAATACTGGTATTATAGAAGTGTCCCACCATACCTGGCTAATTGAAGTTATTTTTATGGGGCTAGTATAACTTTAATATCAAAACCTAAATGTACCAAGAACAACAACAACAAAAAAAACCACCCACAAAATCCATACCCATCTTTTCTTATGTATATAGATGTTAACTTCTCTTGTTCTGAGATATCATCACAGGAAGTCCATTTCATTATTTGTATCTCTGCTATCTCTGTCCTGCACTATAGAGTTTTCATTGCTGCTAGCTGGTATCCCCTGAACAACCTTGATGAACATAGTCATGACTGATCAAGTCACATATAATGTATACCCATTTCAGTATCCTATTTCCTTGAGCCTTTGCTCTTTTTCCTTCCCTGTATATTGTGGGTTGTTTGACATCTCACTTAAAATAGACAACTGTTGAGTCTAGGTTAATTAGCTGAACAGCAAACTGCTAATATGCTGAGTATGGAATTTCTGGTTTTGTGTCCATATCACTTAAGTCCTTTCTTCTTGGAAATCTTAGAATCCATTTGTATCACTCTGTTTTCCATTACTATAACAAAATACCCAGGGCTAGATAGCATATAAAAAAAGACTCTTGGGAGAGTTGGGGGGAGAAAGAAAGCCAAAACTGTATTTAGATTACAGTTTGAGAAGCTGAAAATCTAAGATTAAGCTTCCAAAATCATTGGGATCATTAACTTGGCCTCTTTTCAGGGTCCCCCTGGGTAAACTATAACATGGTGGAAATGTATACAGTGGGAAAAGATCACATGGTAAGACAAGAGCCAGAGAGGGATTTAGGGGCCAATGCTGCTCTTTTCTAACAGCTTGCTCTCTTGAGAACTAATTAACTTTGTGAGACAAGTGTTAATTCATTTCTTCAGTGGGCAGTATTCCCAGTGACCTAATTACCTTGTATTAAACCTCATCTCTTTAAGATTCTACCACATACAACATTGCCACATTGGGGATCAAGCTTCTAACACATGAACCCTTCAGGACACACTCAAACCTTAGTACATGTTCTTTAGGGTTCTGCTGACAAACACTGGCAAACTCTTAAAACTTTTGTGGTTGTGGAATGGTAGCTCTTTTTTTTTTCTTTTTTTTTTTTTTTTGTGAGACTGGAGTTTGAACTCAGGGCTTGATGCTTGCAGAACTCTACCACTTGAGCCAAGCCTCCAGTCCCTAGTAGCTGCTCTTGAGTGAGATTTATACTTATCCCCTATTTCTGCAGAGTGTGAGTCTAAGTATTTGTTATTTTGGGTCTGGAAGCAGTGAAAAATGGTAGAGGAGTGGTCTGGAGGAGGATCTACATTCTTCTCAAAGCAAGTGCTTGAAGTGAGGTCATTACAGTGTTTTTAAGCATTGTGAGGGTAATTTCCTCACACAGGAAGGCAGGATTGCTTTTGCTAGCAAGGGAGGCCTTGATAGGGTTTCAGGGATTCAGGGAACTCAGATTAGTGAGAATACCTAGATGTCACAATATCAATCGTGGGTACCTCTCTTTTCTGTTAAATGCCTTAATTTTAATGTTAACAGATGTGTTGATGCTGAGTTTAATTTGCAGTGTAATTCATCTAGCCAGTTTATACATTGAGTTTCAGAAATCTCAGTCCCGTGTCTATACGAATTAAGAAATTCTTCTGGGACATTCAGAAGTTTACTGGTTGTCTCAGTAATGAACAGGGCATTTAAGCCTGAGCTTAATATCTATTTTACAAACTTTGCAGTGCAGACAGAGGCAGCAGTCTATTCTATAGTCCTTGTACTGTGTTCACCATGCAGTCTGTTGATTTGGTACTTAGTCTGCCAAAGATTTGCATTAAACTCCAGGCAACTAAGGGTGATAATTTAAGTGACTGTTTTGCTACTGAATGCCAAGACTATCAGTATTTGTCAGTTTACTGTCTTCATACTTAAGAAAGAACTAATTCAGTATTTCTGTTTTTAAGGTTCTTTCCTTTGGAACCACTTGTTCTACCAAAACTATATTGATAGCAGGTTATGGTCAGAAAGGGAGAAAGCTACTTCATATACTTTGGGTACAAAATAATTTAGTATAAAATTAGGAACTCAAATGAATTATGGAACAGCAAGGAATGCAAAAGTCCTAGAAGCTGTTGTGAAAAGCTGGAGAAGCCAACACTCACGATCTCAGCCTGTAGCAAGCACTGAGGTAGAAGTTTCTTAGAACTTCTTTGGTAATCTGCTGTAATCCTGAAGAATCTTTGAGAAGCTCCCACCAGCTATCTCAGTTTGCAGCAATGAGATGGTTATCAGAAGCTCAGCAGGAAGTCACCATTCAACTCATGTCTGCAGATACCTTTGTTACAAATTTATCTCTGAAGAAAAATGATTTCTCCTTAACTTTTTTGGATTCAGATTTCATGCATGCTCTCCTCACTGGCAAATTCATAACTGGGAACTATTCAGGGAAGGAGATTCTTGGAAATGAAGTTCCCAGTTTTTCTTTTGCAATGTTGAGGAGTCCTTAGAAAAGAGTTATGGTGTTACTTAATTGACAATAGATAATTTAGCACTGAATTCTTTGTTAGCTTTTGAGGGAAGACATACCCAATCACACCCCTGTCCGAAGGTGACTTTGGTTATCAGACTGAATTAAATGACTCCAGAGAGCCCAAAGAAACAGGGGACAGAATCAATTTCATTTTGTTGAAATAGCTGCTTTATTATTTATTTGTCATGCTTGCACTTATTTTGAAAGATTGTAAATTTGAAAGTGATTCTACATAACTACTAATATTAGGAAAATTAGGAAACATCCTATGTCTTCCAATCGTTTGCTCTTCTCTTCTGAAGAAATAGCATAGTGAGAAGACCATGATTATTGGAATCAGAAAGTAAATTGTGGATTTGCTAGTTACTGGTATCAGTGTCTTCATTTTTTAATGATAATAATAGTATTTTTCCTCTCAATCAAGAGGAATAAATTTGATAATGCATATAAAATTTACCATAGTTCCTGATACACAATAATAACTCAGTAAGTAGCAGTAGTTTTTAATCCTTGTTTTCTAGTTCATACTAAATTATTAATGAATTACTCCCTCAGTATTTTTGCTTTTTAAACATGTGAGTATTTAATTGGCAAGGTGTCAAGAGTGGGAGCAGAGACAATTTTTTGAGCAAGTGACTATTAAATTCTGTCTCTCCTTTTATTACCTGTGATTGCGTGGTCTTTCTTTTGAGGAGAAGATAGTGAAAGGAGCATTTGAGGAAGCCTTGGATTGGAAAAACCAGTTGGCTGAAGATTCCCCACTTCTTTAACTTTGGTATTAAGTGGTCCTAAGTGGAGGCTTTCAGCTGTTCTTAAGTACTCTGAAAGAGGTGGGACTTTGATATTCTGGGGATTAGTGATCAGCTTTTTCTCCTAACCTGAGACTTTGACTCATTTTAATCTACCTTTCATGCTTCTAATTTCCATTTATATCTTCTTAATGCTGCATTTGAGTTGATAAACTGTAAGTCTCTTTCTTCCATTCTAAGAAAAATAGCAGCTCATCATGTATTAACTTTTGATGACTTTAAATTTGTAATTGAGACAATAAAGCTAATTCATTCACTTTTCTTCTTGTTTACTTTTATTTTTTATTAGTGTTTCAAACTAGAAAATATCACATATAAAAACTTATAGTATACTTTTGTCTTGTAGTTATGATAGGAAAAAAAAATGACATCTTTTTTTTTTTTTTAGGTCTTATGGAAGTGTATTTAAAGCAATTCATAAGGAATCTGGTCAAGTTGTTGCAATTAAACAAGTACCTGTTGAGTCAGATCTTCAGGAAATAATCAAAGAGATATCCATAATGCAGCAATGTGACAGGTATGAAAAGATTTTATTTTTTGTCTTCATTTTGATGAATTAATGTATAATATGTATTTTTTGTTATCTCTTTAGTTTTTATTTTTTTGACTTCTTATTGAAGATAAAACTAATTCTTTAAGGAAGGTGAGGACAGCTCTGTAGGATTATCTTTTGGATTTCAAGCTGCTTGCTTATAAAGCAGAAATAATGGATATAACATAAAGGAATATGTAATAAAGAAAATACTCCAGTTTTCTTATTTTCAGGACAAATATATAGGTGAAATGAATTTTTTATGTTAAGTAGGTCATTTAATAGTTTGTATTGCATGATTTTGTTTTTTGAGATAGGGTGTCCTATGTAGCCTAAGCTGGTCTGGAACTTACTGTGTAGCTCAGTCTGGCTTCAAGCTTCAATTCTCCTGCCTTATTCTCCTGAGGACTGGGATGACAGGTGTGTACCACCATGCTCAGCACATAATTGTTTGTAATTAATTAAAAACAGTCATGTTTATGTAAATCTTAATTCATTCAACAAGCATTTATCGAGTATCCCTTGTTGACCAGGTATATTGGCCTATGGTTAATTAACCAAAGAAGTGTGTATTATTTTTCTTTACCAAAGTTTTGAAGGTAGGGCTGGTATAGTAGCAATAAAATAATATCTGAGTTCAAGACTGTTTTTTTTTTTTTTTGTACTGTTCTGGAAATGTTTAGAATTATTGGAGTGGAAAATATGGGGTAGAGACTAGTTTAAAATCAGGTTTAATAGGTAAATGAATCGGATAATGAAAGGTCCTATATGCAACGTTAAATAGCCTGGTCTTTATGAGGAATGTAAGGAGTATAAATTAGGACAAAGTTTAGCCTATGGTTAATTAACCAAAGAAGAGCATCTTTTCCTTTAACAAAAGGTTTGAAGGTAGGGCTGGTATAGCAGCAATAAAATAATATCTGAGTTTAGGCTGTTTTTCTTATACTTTCTCACAGTATATAAGATCTATACAGATGACCCCTAACTTATGATGGGCAATTATTTGATTTAAAATTATTTAGCTTTATACTGGTGGGAAATCAATACATATTCACTAGAAACCTTATTTTGAATTTTGGAGTTTTATCTTTTTCTGGGCTAGTGATACTGTGCTCTTACTATACTGGACAGCAGGAATGAGCTACAGCTCCATCAGCCACACAATTGTGAGGGTAGACAACCGATCCTCTGTGGTGTGCTGTGTTGCTAAGCTGTGATGTTTGGTAGGTTATGTGTGTTAAATTTTCGACTTAACGGTATTTTCAACTTACAGTGGGTTTCTTGGACATAACCCTACCATTAAGTCAAGGAGCATCTACATATTATAAGCTCTTTGGCTAATGAAGTGACTGAATACTTCTAGAGGAACCTCATTCAATTCAATTTTGCTTTTGTTTTAGATATGCTATATATTTAGATTATATTACATATTTTCCATAAAGGCTGAATAATTTGAAAGTCAAGAAGTAATAAAAAAATAATATATTCTTCAGCCCTCAGATTAAAGTATGTAATTGCAAAGTTTTCCCAGACTGTGCTACTAATTTTGTAATTGGTGAGAATATGAATCTCACAGTTTGATGTAGAAAAGGAACACAGACTAGTGTTGGGCCTGTTAAGTGTGCCTAATACTTGCCAGATGCTATTATCTTTTTATTATTATGTAAAAATAGTTCAGGGACTAATGCTGTACTTTATATTTTCATTTTTGTTTTTCTTGGCAGTGCTGCAGATTGAATCCAGGGCCTTGTGCATGCTAACAGGCACATGTTCTAACCATGGAGCTACACTCTCCAGTCCCTAGTTATACCTTAGAGATTTTAATTGAGCATTGTCTAGAAGGCAAGGTTTTAAATAATGCCTACCATTTATTATTCTTTCTCCTAACCTTTGTAATTTTGAAACTTGTCAATTCTTGCTCAGATTTCTGTAACAGTATCCTATTTGCTCACCTTGTCTTTCATTTTTACCTTGTCTAATCCATTTTCTTCCTGAAGCTAGAGTGCACTTTCTAAAATGCAGACCTAATTAAACCATTCCCTTAAGTGGCTCATCACTGCCTAGATAAATCCAATCTCCTAAGAATGGCATATGAGACCAGTGATTATACTTCCAATCTCTTGTCTGAGTTTCTCTTTTAAGCCCGTTTACTTGCATTCTTTATTACCTGATTCTTAAATTCTTTGAGTGCCCAGACTATGTTTTACTCAGTGTTCTTGGGTCCTGCCACATACTAATGAGTGCTTCTAGCTCCTATCTGGGCAACTCAATTAGACTTCACATTTACATTCAACAACCAAAAAAAATTTTTTTTCCTCCTCCTTGTCCTGTGGTAGTGGGGTTTGAACTCAGGGCTTTGTATTTGCTAACAGGTGCTTTTCCAGCCCTTTTTGCTTTCCTTATTTTTCAAATAGGGTCTCCTTTATGCCTGAATCACAGTCGCCTGTATATATTTCCCACATAGCTGGGACAACAGGCATGTACCACCACACCCAGTTTTGTTATTGGCTGAGATGGGGAATTGTGAACTTTCTTGCCTCGGTTGACTTCAAATAGCCATTGATCTCCGCCTCCTGAGTAGCTTGGATTACAGGTGTGAGTACCCAGCTTCGACAGCTAGATTTTTAATTGTTCCAGACAAGCCTTTCTAATTCCTAGTGTGTTAATAGCATTACCATTCACTTAGTTTTCAATATGAAAGCTGAGCATCATTTTTATTCCCTTTTCTGATACTTTGGTGACACTAAGTCTTATAAATTTTCCTTCTGAAATGTGTTAATTATCTTTTTCCTTCTTTTTATTCCTTGGAAGAAAGAACCATATTTTTAATGCTTAGCACCCATCATAATGCCTAGCACTGTACTTTTGGCTGAATGGATATATGAGAGATTCAGGGCAAACCATTATGGAGTGAGGGAATCCTAGGGAAATGAGCTCCTTATTCTTGTTATGCCCTTTAAACTTTTAAGGGGAAGAAAAGTGAAGAATACAAGAGGAAGAAACCGTAATGGAATTCAGGAGCATCTGTGCATGTTATAGAAAAATGTCTTGCTCATAGTGGGAACTTCTCAAATATTTGTTGAATGGAATCAATCATGAAGCAAATATTGATTAAAAAGTGAGTCCTGCCTTTTAGATTTCACCCTCAAGTTAATATTATGATTATGAAATGTTGAAGGATCAAAACAAATTAGTTGGGTTAAAGGATCCTGAAAGGGTAAGTAAAAAGTAGGGTAGGAATGGCAGGTGCAACATTGCATGTTAACTGCTGATTATCATCAGTGTAGATGTGTTACTGAAAAATCAACATAAAATGATTTGGAAGAAAACAATACAAGTTGAAAAATTGCCATATATAACGTTGACTGAAATTTTGGTCAGAGAAAAATGAGATAGGGATTTCTGGAATTTGAATATTAACCTATTCAGATAATTGAACATTTGGCAAATGCTTGCCTTTTATACTCTGTAAGTATTCACTCATTTTAGTGAATATGTATATTTTTTGCTTTAATTTTTTTTTTTTTTTTTTTTTGCCAGTGCTGGGGTTTGAACTCAGGGCTCAGGGCCTCATGCTTGCTAGGCAGGCACTCTACCACATGAGCCACTCCACCAGCCCCTGCTTTAATTTTTTTGATAGGGTCTTGTATTTTTGCTGTGGGGCGGGGGGAGGCCCTCTAACTGTGATCCTCCAGTCCAAGTCTCCTGACAGCTGGGGCTATAGGCATGAGATGGGGGTCTCAGTGACTTTTTTGCCTGGGCTGACCTCAAACCTCTATCCTCTTGTTTTCCTCCTGAGTAGCTGGGATTACAGATGTGAGCTGTTGTACCTGGCCACATTTTACTGAATATTAAGCATGGGCTGAATACTGTATTTTGGCATAAATATTTGAGGGAGCCTATCTGCTTTATTTATTGTTGGATCTGCAAAGTCTAGTCCATATGCCTACCTCTAGTACAAGGTAGGAATTTAATAAATGTTGAATGCATATGTCATAGAATGTTAATGTTGTACTAGCTCTCTAAAGGTCAGCTAGTTGAGTGCTTTTCAGATTATACTCTGTTCTAAAGAGTACTTTTAGGGGTCTTGTCTTCAAATAATGAAGAATTGAGCAGAATGAGAAACTTGGTTTCTGCTTTTTCTCTTTTTTATATATTGGGGCTCATTTAAAAATTTTATTTGAGTAAAAGGCTTTTGGTGCTAACTATTCTACAGGCATAGGTATAGAAAGAGAAACCTGGAGATTTTTCATGAATTGCCTATGATCATGAAGCTAGTTAGTGATGAAATGAGAACCACATTTACTGACCCCAGGGCCAATATTGAAAAAACAGTGTCATTAAAAACATCGTCACAGTTCAAGGTGAACTGGACCTTTGTAGGGGTGGAGGCAAGAGCTGAGCAACAATAATTGAGTACTATGTGCCAGGTAATGTGGCTACAAGGGAGCCACAGCTGACATAGGCCCTTATACTCTAGAGAAGGAGCCTTTCCTATGTAAGTGAAGAGAAATACGTGGTTATGAATCAGGATGCACTTATTTACTCATTCAGCATATGTATTCTGAGTAGCTCATCCTCAGTAGAGTCCTCTTGTGCTGCTCACAAGAGATACAACAATGAGTGAGTCTCAGGTATTAGAGGGACTTACTATTAGATGGGAGAGACTGGTGAATGGGCAGGCTGTTTCAGTATACTGTGGTAAGAGTTGTGATTGGTAAATGTGGGAAATTGTACACTGTTGCAATTCAGGGAAAGCTCTCCAAGGAGAGCAAACCCACACCAAGGCCTAAATGATGAGTTAGAATGCTGGACCGATAAGAGAGTAAACCATGTGGTGGGAATAGATTTCTTCCAGCTGGCCTCCTCCAAATGTTGCTGCTTCTTCCAGAGCAGCTACTCTCTTGTCTGTTTGATTTGCTCATGTTTCCTGTAAGATTCCATTTGAACAGTTTCTGAAGCCTTCCCCCCTGCCCCCCCCCCAAAAAAGTTTGAAAACAACCATTTGGAGGATTAGCAATGAACTCTGGCAGCAGTTTGTATCAGTTCATGTGTGTATTTATTCAGTGTTGGATAGGCTAAGAAATAGATTGCTATGATTGAGATTTTTATGGGAAACAATTCAGTTTTTGGAGGATAATATTCACATTGCCTTTAAAAAAAAACACTATATTAACCCTATTAAGTTGTAGAACAGTATTAAGATTGTAGTGGGATGTTGGTGAAAATTATGTAGTGAAAAATAGCCATTTCTTTATTACTTATTTTTACATGCTTTTAATAGGATTTTCAAGAATATACCTTTGGCAATATGTGGTTTTCTTCAATTAAGATGAATTTCAAATTAGTATAAAAAGTCACCACTTAAGCAGTAAAATCAAATATTTGAATTTCTTTCTTCTTTTTGTTTATAATTGTTAGTTTTTAGTTACCCTCTGTAGCCTATTTGGATTTAAATTTTTCAGCAAGGAGGAGCAAAAATCAGTATGTTATCAATTCAATTTTAAACTTTGTGAATTAGGTGAATCTCATAGGTTATACCTTTTGACTATTTTATTCTTAAATTTATAGACAATTATATGTATTATGTACAGTATAAGGTTTTGAAGTATACATACATTGTAAAGTAATTAAGTCTAGCTAACATATGCAGTGCCTCACATAGTTATTGTTTTTGTAGTGAGAACAATTAATATCCACTCTTGCATTTTCCAAGAATACAGTATTGTTAGTATTGTCATTAACTCTCTTCACCATGTTCTACAATAGATATGTTGAGTTTATTCTTCCTATCCAAGTAAAATTTTGTATCCTTTGACTGTCATCCTTATTCTTCCCCCTACCAACTGCATTAGCCCCTGGTAACCAACATTCTTCTATGAGATTACCTTTTTTGGATTCCACATATGAGTGAAATTATGTAGTATTTGTCTTTCTGTACTTAGCTTATTTCATTTAACCTAATGTCCTCCAGGTTCATTCATGTTGTCACAAATGGCAGGATTTTCTTTATCCATTTATCCATGAATAGACACTGAAGTTGATTCTTTATCTTGGTTATGTGAATAGAACATTTGGATTTCTATAAGAAGGTAGGAGGGCAGAACAGGTCCTGGTGGGGGGAGGGCTGGTATCAGTGGGAGGGAGAAGGATGTGGGGAAAGGGTGTAGGAGGGTAAATATGGTGCAGATAGTGTGTACACATGTATGTAAATGGAAAAATGAGACTTGTTGAAACTTCCAGGAATGAGGGGAGGGGGAATAGAGGAGAATGATGGAGGGGGGTAAATTCAACTGTGATATATTTGATACATTGTGAGAACTTTTGTAAATGCCACAGTGTACCCTCAGCACAACAATTAAAAAAAAAAAGAAAAGTTTCAACAGAGTGATTCAGTCTGTGTAACTTGTACTGTGGATGGTGTTTATATAAGGTACAAATAACTTAGTTTTTTGCTGTGCTGGATATTGATCACTGGGCCTTGTGTACTCATATTAGGCAAGTGCTCTATCACTGAGCTATACCCCTAGCCCTGTAAGGTACAAATAGATGAATTTGTCGTGTTTTGGGCTTTCCTCACTTCCCTTTTTATACTGTGTATATTTTAATTATATTCTAGAGGAAGACTGTTAGGATAAAGAGTGAGGAAAAATGTGAAGTGGAAGTGGGAGTAGAAAGGATGATATCATTAGTCGTGATATGAGAGGAAGTAATAAAAAGAAAAAAGAGGGGAAGATGATTCGTTGTTTCATTGAGTTGAAGGTGTTAAGGAAGTAGTTAATGGGACAGGAGAATGAACCTGAAGGGAGATGCACAGAAGGGTGTGGAACATTGCTAATGCTTGTCACCCAAGTTATGAAGGCATTATGCTTCATTTCTTTTTTCTGGTGTGATCTGTAATTTCATTCATGTCTGTCTTGTCCTTCTACCCAATGGAATTTTTATAGCTACTCACTGTTTCACAGTTCCAAAACTATAGAGAATTGCAAGTTCTGATGTCACTTGAAAGTCCATATGGTGACTTAAGTCAAGATTCTTAGGCATTATGGCTGTATTAAAACTTTTTGTGTTGCATAAAATTATATATATTCCATTGAGCTAGTGTGTTGAATAAAACTCTACCCTTTATTCAGTGTGGTTCTGAACATTCTAAACAAATGTTAGAATATCTGGATAATCCTTTGGTTAGTTAACTTGCTGGCTAGAATGAGCAATGTTAACTTTGGCCCTTAATAATATTACACAGGATAATCTTCTTTAAAAGCTAGTTTGGTTCTATTATTTCTTTGCATAAATTCCTTTAGTGGTTCCTTATTGTCTGAACTGCTCTTTCTTCTTTGTTACTCTTTTGCATTCTATTTTTCTCCCTAGCACTAAGCCACTAGGCCATATGTGTTGTTTAGTGACTGCTTTTTGACTGATTTTTTCATATATGAATGAATTTGAATGCATGATATCTATGTTAGTAGAAACAGACTGAGTTGGAATTCCTAGGTCTCAAACTCTCTAAGTCTGTTTATATCTGTGTTACTTTAAAAAGTTTAAAAAATGATGGCCTTAGTGTATAGTCAATATGCATTTAAAGGGAGGAGGCACAGTGAATAAAGCACAGAAAACTTGCTTCTGATTCCCAACTCCCCAGTTTATATCGTCACCAAGGTGTGTGAAATGTACCTTGAAAACATCTTTTATGTTTGTTCTCTTTGCTGTTTCTACTGCACTTACTGTACTTGAGCCCACCAACATTCATCTTTTAAAATATATATTTTTTATTATTATTCAGTTATGGTGACACACCTGTTGTGGACAAAAGTTAATAAGAGATCATCAAATTAATAAAGATACATTGTTATATTCTCAGATTCCAAGAGAAAGATGTAGGCCATGTCACCAGGGGCTACACAGGGAATCACCAAGTTCCTTCAGCAGACAGAGCCTTTATTGTGGTTTCTGTGGGAAGGACAGAAGAGACAGGATAAAATAGTACTAACATGAGACTGGCTAGTTGGAGTAATTTCAGTGAGCTCTGGGATCTAGGTACTATTTCTAGTTGTCTGGTACTAGCCCTGGGGGCTGATTAGGGTAGAGAAATAGTGATTCTGGAGTATGGTTATTGAAGTTGGGAAGGCATGCTCAAAGGCTAATTCTTTTGTCAACTCTAGGAATTAGCTAATTGTAGGAGGACATTTTCTCCTCTGAGCTTGTCTAACATTTAAGTTATGTGCTACTTAGTTGATGCTACCTTGTATTTTCTGTCTCTCTTTTTTTTTTGTTTTTTGTTTTTTGGTGGCACTGGGGTTTGAACTCAGGGCTTCCCACTTGCTAGGTAGATGTTCTAATGCTTGAGCCACATCTCCAGCGTATTTTCTTTTTATGTATTCTGTGATTATGGATACTCTGCCTCTTTCAGTTGGGTAAAATATTTTATATATCAGTTTATGTAGCATATCTTTAATAAATATTAATGGTGATAGTCATTTGTCACTTCCAAATCTTTCTGAAATATATTTTATTCTACTCTGGATGACTTAAAAATCTCAGTTCAGTAATATTTAAATTGTTAATAATTTTAGTTATTCAAATTTAAGACATGTAAAGTAATTCTATCTGTATATATGTGTGTATATACATATATATATATAAAATTATTTTACTCAAGAATTTTTAAAGGCTGAAGTAAAAAAAAAAAAAAATCCCCAACTGTTTTCAGTATCATTGAAATATTCAGCATTTCAAAGTTGAGTATTAATAGTTGATTGAATGCAAAATTCTTTAATAAAATTTATATTTAAAATGTTTTCATTAAGGGAAAATATTTTCATTTGTATGTTATGTTAAACAGTAATTCCTTTGTGAAAAGGAAGCATTATTTTTCTTGGGAATCATTCAAAACATTTGGGCCTCCTCTGGTTTGTAATCCTGTTAAATTTCATCCATGAAATAAAGCCTGATTATACACAGTTGGTGAGCTTTAGATATAGGCTATTCAGTGTACAATAGAGGTTAGTCATTAAGTTTACTTATTGAGACATTATGAAATGCTGAAAATACATCATATTGGGATTAAAAAAATTATTCTTTGGAAATGCACTAAATTTAATCGTATTTTTTCTTTAGCCCCTATGTTGTAAAGTACTATGGCAGTTACTTTAAGAACACAGACCTCTGGATTGTTATGGAATACTGTGGAGCTGGCTCTGTCTCAGACATAATTAGATTAAGAAACAAGACAGTAAGTATTTTAAAATTGTTTTGCTAATCTCATTTCTAAAGATTCCCATTTTAGAATCTGTCTAGGTAGTATTTTGTTACAAAGAAAATATTATTGTGAGAAAAGAAAAAAAAAAAAAAAGAAAAGCATTTCAGCAATTTTAAAGGGATCTAGCAGGAAGTGTAAGAATCAGCTGCGGATCTTTCTGTGGCAGATTTCATCGTTAGGACAACTTTTGGTTAAGTCACTGAGGAGCTCCCATGGTATCTTCTTCATTTGAAATGTGTGTGTGTGTTCATGTGAGTTCAATAAATTATGGCTAGAATTTTATTTAAAGCTTGTAATATTCAAGTTATTTCTTAATTTTTATGTATTAGTTTATGGCTGGCCAGTTATATGTTTCTGAATTTTTAAAAATAGTTGAAAAAAATTTGTATTTTCCCAAATATTGCCCAAATGTGTGAAAGAGTTAGATTACTTATATATATTTTTACTTTTGCGAAGTCAGTTTAGTGAATTGTGTAACTTAATAAAAGCCTTGATTGTTATGTTTTAACCCTAATTGTTTTAAACAGTTTTACAAAATTATTTACCTCAGCAATGTATCTAGTTTATTTGAACAATTTCTAAGTACCAAAGTGATCTTTTCATCTGTGAGTGGCTAAGAATAATAATCAGCAAAAATAATTTGTAATTCTGTAGAATAGTAATTCAATTATATGACATTATGTGTTGTCACTTATGTTTCAGTAAAATACATTCAGAAAAAATATTTAACTATTTCAGTCAATTTATGGTTAACCAGAATTATTTTAAAGTTTAATTGGGATATACTTTGTAAGTTTATCCTACTAAATTTTTTTCCTATAACAGAAAATAAAATAAATAAGACTTCTCTAAAAGGAAATGAAACAAGTTAAAATAATCCCTGTTTTGACAAAATGGATTAAGTGATCTGTGACATTTTAATTATATATTTTAGAATTTCTTTGGTGCTTAACTAGCATTTATGTAAATCAGAGGGATCTTGAGTGGCAGAACAATGCTTTAATTGAAAATAATTATACTCCAGTTAGAGAAGTTTTTAAAATCATTTGGTATTTAAAATTATCAAATAGGAATATGAAATAAAAGCACAGGAAGTAGAAAAATTTAAACATCTCTATTTTCATGGTTTTAAATGTTGATGTTACCATTTGATCACATAGGAAGTATTTGATCCAAGAAATTTATTTCTTGTTGCTAATAATTACAAACTGGTTCTTAGAGATAGACATGGATGTCTATCTCCTTCATACTCTGTGTTAGAAGACAGTCGCTGACAGCATGTTGGAGAGTCATACAGTTGGAACAGTATAATTGTTAATTTCACAGAACCATTATCATTGGTGTCATGGGAATGATCTAATTTCCATATATGAAAAAGATTCATAGTTGCACAAGAGGTTGATCAGGAGCTGTGGGCTTATTGTTTTTGTGTGTTGCTTTGATGACAACTCCTTTTTTAATTTTTTTTTTTTCCTGGCAGTATGGGATTTGAATTTAGGGCTTCGTGCTTACTAAGCAGGTGCTCTACCACTTGAGCTGCTCCACCAGCTCTTTTTTGTGCTGGTTATTTTTGAGATAGGGTGTGTGAAACTATTTGCCTGGGCTGGCTTCAAACCATGATCCTCCTGATTTCTGCCTCCTGAGTAGTTAGGATTACAGGTGTGTGCCACCAGCTCCAGGCTGACAACTCCTTTAAGATCTCAAGAACATTAGTATTTTTTTTTCCAGCACAAGTACATTTTCCCTCATTTATTTATTATGTTATGAATAGTACAATTATTAAGATTAACAATAAGGTCTGGTGCCAGTGGCTTACACCTGTAATCCTAGCTACTTAGGAGGCAGAGATCAGGAGGATTGTGTTTTGAAGCCATCCCTGGCAAATAGTTCACAAGACCCTATCTTGAAAATACCTAACACAAAAAAAGGACTGGTGGAGTGGCCCAAGGTGTAGGCTCTGAGTTCAAGCCCCATTACTGAAAAAAAAAAAAAAAAAAAAGATTAACAATAAGTATATATGTATCTTTAAAAAAAAACCCCTCAAATATAGTAAATATTGATCATTTTATGGGGCTGTTCACTGGATTGTCTAAATTTTAGAGACATGGTTATTACTGATTATTTTCAGAAATATCACCAGTGAAAATTTTTTTTTATTATAAACAGTTTTAGAATTCACTGTAGTAGTTTTTTTTGCGATGATGAAACAGTCTTTTTCTAACATTATGGCAACTGTTTTTAGGGCTTTGTGCTCCTTAAGCTTTTTATAATATACTTTGTTGTTTTAAATATGTATATATAGTCAAATATATATAATGTACAAGAACTTTTATTCATATTGCCAGTGTTTATGTTTATCCTTGTATATATGCTTTTTATTACTATTTATTCCTTTCTATGTTTCTTACTTGTCTGAAGAACATCCATTCTTATTTCCTTCTTATGTAAAGGTCTTAGTTTGTTTTTTAATATACTAATACATTTCACTTTTTTTCTTTTTCTTTTTTTGTGGAGGTAGGAGTCAAACCCAGGGCCTTCCACATACAAGGCATACTTTTTACCACTGAGCTACACCCCCAGCCCTTTACTTCATTTTGAACCATGTATTTGCTGGGCATGGAATTCTGGGTTGGCAGTTTTTTAAGCATTGGAAGATAGCATTTCATAATCATCTGACTTTCATTGTCTCTACTTGTTTGCTGTTGCTTCTTCGAAGTAATCTTTTTTCATCTAATTGCTTTTAAGATGCTTTTTTCCTTTGGGTTTCAGAAGATGAAGATTTACTTTAATGTACCTACTTGTAGTTTTCTTGGTATTTATCTTTTGTGAGGTGCTTGCTGTACCTTGTTTCTATAATTCGATATTTTCCATCTATGTTGGAAAACTTGAGTTATTATAACTTTTTTTGGCAGTTATAACTAAATCATATTTTTTGACACATCTTTTTCTCTTCTTCTGTGGTATTTTAGTAAGTTTTTTTCTCCCACCTTTTCTTTATGTACTTTTAGTACTTTATTTTCATGCTCAAATTTGTGTGTTTTCTTCTGATGTGTCTTTCAGTATACAATTCTCACTTTGCCTATCTCTAGCCTGCATTTAAATCATCCATTGATTTAAATTTTCATTTTCAGTTACTGAATTTTTAGATTCTAGAATTTCCACTTGATTTTTGTTTTTTGTAATGCGAGGGATTGAACATAGGGCCCTATTGGCAAGCTGTTTTACCACTGAGCCACAGTCCCATCCCCCATTTGATTTTTTTTTTTAATTAGGATATATTCACTGTATGGGGGGGATTGTGACCTATTTGGTTTTTTTAAAAGAGTACCTTGCAGAAAACCTTAATCTTTTTCTTTATTTCATAGGACATGTTAATTATAATATAATTTTGTCTGATAACTTTATTATCTCAACCTCCTCTGGGTTTGTTTCTATTTGTTTCTCTCTTTGTTTTCATCCGTGCTTGATTATGTTTGAACAAGTGGTAGACATTATATAAAAAGTAGTAGATATTATTTGAACTTTGAATAATGATACAGTGTCTTCTTCCACCAAAAGCTTTTTGTCTGCTTCTCCCTGGTGGCTAGAACTAGTAATCTTGGATCACTTTAATCCAATCAGGGTTAGAGATAATTTGAATTTTGGCTTTGGTCTCTCATTATGTCTAGAGTATAATTCTTTAATATTTTAAGGCTTCCCAGGGTTGTGGTAAGTTTAATTTCTAGTCTTTCTTCTTGTTTTTTAAGTCATTTGACAGCTTTCTCTGCTTCTTAGTCTCTTATTCTGTATTCCATAATTTATAGATATTTTGAGAAAAGTGACCTTCATTGCTAGGCTTACTACTTCTTTTCTTTCCTTTTCTCATATGTTGACTCCAGACAAAAGACATTGCTTTTTTATCTTTGCTGATCTTCAAGCAGAGTTTTAAATGTATTTTGTTCAGATATTTTAGTTTTTTCAGTAGGAAAATGGTCTGAATTATCTGTATCTCATGCACCATTATCATTTCTTAAAGTTTAAGGCTTGTTTTAATTGTTAGGGCTTTAATCCAGATGGAATTTACTTTTGTGCATAATGTGAGGAAGGGGTCTATTGTTGGGGAATTTTAATTTGTCATGATACAAAAGCTGTCCAGTTCTCCCTGATTTATATGGCTTTTATTTGGCTTCCCTGTTCTAGCTATTCTGTTGATATATTTGTCTGCCTGTGCAAGAGAAACATGCTTTTAATTGTACGGTATGTTTGATATAGTATGCAAGTTCTCTTAATTGTCTTTGTTTTTCTTGACCTCTTATATGACTTTTAGACTAACTCATCAAGTTTCACAAAAACCTTTTGTGGGATTTTTTTTCCCTGTTTTTGGTATTGGGATTTGAATTCAGGGCCTTGAGCTTGCTAGGTAAGTGCTCTATCACTTGAGCCATGACCCTGGCCCTTTTTGCTTTCATTTTTCAGGTAAGTTCTTGTGCTTTTGGCCACCTGGCCTCAGATTACGATCCTCCTACTCTGTTTCCTTCTTAGTTGGGATTACAGGTGTGTGGTATCACATCTGGCCTTGCTGGATTTTTTTTAATTGGAATTATATTTAACTAAGAAGTTAATTTGGATTGATTGATATTTTGCCATCCATTGTCATAAATTTCTTTATATTTATTTCTCCATGTAAGCCTTCTTAAAATATATTTGTTTCTAGGGCCTTTGTCATTTTTACTGCTATCATGAATTGTGTCTTTTTTGGGTTATATTTTCTAATTGGTTAATGATGGTGTATAAAGGTACTGTTTTTATATATTCTTATTGTTCACTGTTGCATGCATTCTACTTTGTAGTTGGTCCATCTCTGACTCTGTTGCTTGGTTTTACCAATTAGTCATTTGCTGCTTTACTTTCTATCAAGTAACCTTTTAATCTAATTAATAAGGTCTTACTTGACTTTTTGTGTTGGTTCTTGCCAAATGCTCTCATCCTTCCTG